TAGTAGCTTCTTGTTCCTAGTAGTAAAGGCCAGGAGCCCCTAGTAGCGTCCTTGTTCCTATAGTAGCGATGCCCTTTGCTCCTAGTAGCTTCTTGTTCATAGAGTCATAGGGGATGGATTCCAAGATGGTTTCACCAAGCAGTGGAACGGAAATGAATCCCAACTCGTTCTTCAGCTCCATCCTCCCAACGCGCACCTTTCTGTTTGAGCCGCCCATCTCTCAAGCTATCTCTGTATAGAGTGCTTAGTCTTCTTTCGCCATCATCAGCCTGATCATCATCTTATTATTCTTCCACTTGCTCCTCCTCTTCATGTGTGAAATGTTCAACCATGTTCAACCTTTCTCGCTTCATCACAAGGCCAGTCACAGTCAGTCCGGCCAACATCTGCAAACCGAATGCGCAAGAACCATTCAGCCCCGAGCCACTCCGTCCACCCTTTTGTTCTTGGTGTTGTTTTCCACGTTCCATTGCTTGGTTTCTGGTGTTGCTGGTGCAGCTTGATGGTGTAGCGGGGAAATGGGTGGGGCAATAGTTGACCTGTACTGCTCATGGGAAACCAACCCCAACCACCAGTTCAGAGAGTCTGCTAACCACTATCTGGTCTTTGAGGACTTTCAGATCCTATTTTCAGTTCCTCCCTCATCGATACGGATTCATGGCTCCTGTCTTTGGCCGTCGAACTCCTTTCAGGCTTTGGATATTGCAAAAGAACATGGGAAAAGAACGCACATTGAACTACTCCAACCTAGTAGCGATGGCCTCCAATCTGAGGCTTTGGATCTTGGAATCCCAGCTCCTTCCGTCCCTGAGCCCCTCCTCCTCGCAGCTCCACTTCCGCCGCCTGCCGGTGCGCCTGGGCCCGGCGGGCACACGCCGGGCGGTGCGCTGGTGGCTGCACCGCTGGGTGGAGCCCGTGTTACGCGAGCGGCGGAAGAGCTACAAGTGCAGCATCTCATGGGAGAGGCGAAGGCCAACGGGTAGCGGCGAAACGGCCGAACTGGGCGATGATCCATGCGTTGGTTCATCCTTTTAGTGCGTGTGGTCTATCGGATTGGTTGCCATGCCGGGTGTTTCAAACCCGCGACCGTTTGGATGCCTGGATCCCCATGCAGCTGAACCGCGGGATGCGCACAGCACGGTTTGAGCCGAAAAAGAGCCATGTGAAGACAACTGTTTTATCCATGATTCATTGAAGTCATTGAAGTCCTCAATGGGGAGGCCAATTAGAGGGAGCAGAACGATGTCGCTCAAAGTTTCGTTGCTTGGTCACTAATTGGTTACCCACGAAAGAGACACTCTTGGGCCAAGGTTTACACTCAACTTACATCTCAGGGGTCACAGGTCAGGTTCTAACAGACTTGGCTTGAACGAGTCATTGAGTCATTGAGTCTTCGCCAGCTCTGGGGTGGAGTCGCAACTGGGAGCCCTGCAATCTGGAGTGATGCAGATGTTGAAACTCGTCATGAGCTCGGACGTGCCATCCGAGGGAGCGAAAGGACGTGTTGCAAGTCGGACGACGTGTTGGTCCACGAGTCGGACGGCCGGAAGCGACCGCAGGTGTCAATCCAGGAGGCCCGCTGGTTCAAGAGGTGGACCGGTCTATGGTCATCATGTCTATTTTTCCTTGTTGGGGGTCAGACAGGAAGGTCTCTCGATTTCATGCTTCATCATGGTTTTGATGGGTTTTGCGGATGAAGCACGGGTGGCACATGGTTTTATCGATTGGTCAAGGAACTCGTCGGTGGTGTGGTCAGGATCCAATCGGAGTATTTTTAAGTCTACCCAGTTGCAGCAACAGTGGAGGATGGAGGTGGATGAGGAAGGGATTGTCAGGATGAGGATGAGGATGGAGGTCATGATATATTACTATTCATTTGTTGATTCAATTTTGACAGCAGCTCTGTTCATCAACTCGCTTTCCATCAGACAAAGATGCACAAAGGTGAACGCAGAACAATGATAGCCATCCCTTTCGAGCATGGGCAGTAAACAATTGCGCTTTAGGGCAGGCCCAGCAAGATGAAGCCTGCCAAGAAGCAACACCAGCCCCACGCAGCCCTCCCTATCACACCCAGATTGGCCGCCAACGCAGTGCTCCCGAGGAAGCACGAGCGCCTGTGGGCCTCTGAGGAGAAGGGCCAAATTGAGCTGGACTTGACGCGCAGAGATCTCAAGACTTTGCGGTGCTTAGAACGTGAGCCAGCGAAAAACGAACATGGAGCCACCAGCTGCCGGCTGCCGGCTCTGCCGTGCTTGCTTCGGGCGGCGATGGTTGGGGGGTCTACTTGTTTGTCGTCAGGAAATGGGGCCCCAGTCGCACCTGTGTGAAAACGATGGGTCATGTTCCATTTTGAAAGCGTACTTGAAGTCGGGCCCAGGTATAGATCCTGACGGTTTGATTTGTCCTCCAGTTGAACCAGTGTGATTTGTGAAACGACCTGACTGCGTTTGGGGCGGACACGTTGACCCCACCCAGGTGCTGCGCGCAAGAGCCACGGGCCCAACCCAGGTGCCGCTCGGGTCGCCGCTCGGAGCCTCCGTGGCTCGGTTGCTCCTAGTAGCTTCTTGCTCCTAGTCAGGCCCTTGTTACTAGTAGCTTCTTGTTTCTGGTAGTAAGGCCAGGAGCCCCTAGTAGCGATGCCAAAGAATGGCAGAAGGCCGATGTCTTGGGTGTCAATCTTTGAGAGGTGAATGTGCAGAAATCTCCCTGATCAGGACGAGAGCTAGTGGGTTGGAGGCCATCGCTATTAGAAACAAAGAACAAAGAATAATTAGGAAGAAAGGTTGGAGGCCATGGCTATGTTTGTTCTTCTTGTTACTAGCGATCAAAGACATACTTAAAAAGATGTCCTCCTTTCCGTTCGTAGCGAACCAGGAGCCCCGAACGTAGTACGGCCAGGAGCCTCGAAACGATCGCGTCCGAACGCTCCGTTCGTGAAACGATCGCAAGCGAAGAGACGTCAGGGGAGAGGAGCGAGGCCTCGCTGGGAGCCCCAGACGTACCTGGACCCGACGACGGTGGTTGGGACCTGAAGGGACCTGAACCAAGTCTATACCAGCTGTATACCTGAGTTCTGAGGTTGGAACTTGTCACCTCCAGGTGGAAGTATACTTGGACCTTCCTGGTCTGGTGCCTGATCCGCAGGTGATCCTTTCTAGGGGCTTTTCAACCAGGTGACCCCGGAAGGAAGGTGCTGGTACGAGTATAATAGTGCACGTATATACCTAGAACCTGAGTGACCCCTGTTTTGGAGTCAAAACATGGTCTTTTCCTATCAAAGGTCATATTAATATGGGTTCTATAGGTGTATATATATATATAGGTTACAGATCAGAAGTATCCCTTCCTAGATGTAGGGTGCGACCTTTGAAGGGTCCAGCTCCAGGTAGAGCTTGATATACTCTTGGGGGGTGGCCTTGGGCGGCTCTCGCATCGCACCATCGTCATCCCGCTTCTGGTGATGTGCAGTGCTGGGAGATACCAAAAAGGTTTTAATATTTGGTTTTTGAACATTTACTACTAGCTTCTTGCTCCTAGTAGTCAGTCCAGGAGCTACTGGTGGCGTCCTTGATTCCCCATGTAGTATGACGTTTGCCTGTTTCTCTGGTGGAGGGTGTTGCGGGCCTGCTTTTGCCCGGGCTGCCACGCAGTTGGTGCCCAGTGTGATTTCTGCAGTTGCAACAAGAACTGAAGTAGAAAAAATGCGAAGATAATCTTAAGTGTAAGCAATCCAGGCCGCCCTCAAATTGAAACGTTTTGAGGGTCCGGATTCTTATGAGCGGGCCTCGTTGAGTGTCACTAAATTCGCATGAAAGATCACCTCGAAGGGTATTGGTCGAAGAAGCTACTAGGAACAAAGGGCATCGCTACTAGAAACAAGAAGCTACGTTCAGGGCTCCTGGCCTTACTGGGAGCGTTCGGACGCGAACCGAACGGGGCGAACCTGGCATCGCTACCAACAGAACGAGGGTCGGCGACGAACGGAGCTGGTCCTTGGGACTCGGGCCGATGTCTCGGTCCCTGGACACCAACCGATGTCGTGGTGCATGGGAGGCCATGGGGCAATGTCCACATGTTGTTTTTTTCCCCAAAGACTTCAAGTGCACAACAAGTCGAAGCAAACTTGGGAGTGTCTATAAGATAATAGGTTGGAGGCCATCGCTACTAGTGTCCATAAGCGTCTACAATGATGCCCGTTTGACTGGCAATTGCCATGATTCCCCGAGGTGGGAGCTGGAAACTCTGGAAGCCAAGCGCCAAGAACTCTCCAAGGGTTTGCAGGTGAATCCGGCTTTGCGGGAGAGCTGTTGGAGACTGTCGAGATCAGCTGTTTGGCGGTCAAATTGCCGTAGTTCTCAGGGGCCTTTGAAGAACGGAACTTCATTGACCCAAACGAAGTCCAGTTCGACCATGTTCGACCATTTTGGGCACCGAAGTAAGGAAAACTTCCTCTTGCGATCACCTAGTTAGGCCATTTTTTCAACATGGTCGACTGCACTCCCAGGGTTGAGAAAGGCACGTCGTTCCAAATCGTGCCACCGCTTGAGCTGCAGCAAGTGCGAAGCAGATGGTTGCTGCTTCGAGTGTAGATGCTTGCAAGCAACAGAATCAAGCACCTATATAAGGGTGTCCGGGAGCTGTAGGGCCAATTACATGTCGCCTGAAAAAGGACCTGACAAGTGAACTATATCAGGATCTATTAGGGTTTCGCCTGGGAAACGTTCTTCGGTGGTCGCTTTTTTACAGAACACGTTACCACCAGCGTGCGCTAAAACTGTAAATATTTCACTGTATTCTTGCATATCTAGTAGACTAGTGCAAAAACACTATATTTCAGTGAGTGTATTCTACTAAATGCTTCAGTGTCTTCAGTGTCACATAACCAAAAAGCAAAAAAAAAAACCAACCAACCCAAGACCCTCTGCAATCCATGAGTCTGTTTTTTTGTTTTTTTGGTTTTTCAACAGGTTTTGGACACTGCACTCAGGAAAACCAAAAAGAAAACCTTTGGACCCAAGACCGTCTGCAAGCCATGAGTTTGTTTTTTTTGGTGTTTTTTAGTTTTGCAATTTCAGAAACTTCCTATGCCCATCCTGTCTGGCTCATAGTCATCCTTGTATCGTTCAATTTGCTTCTGTGCTATCTTTCGAGCCCTTCAACACTCTATGGCCATGGAGGTGGAGGGCGATAATATGTCCCTGAGCGATGCCATCGCAGCGACCCAGCACCTCACGCTGCGAGAACTTCCAGCTCATGTTCATGTTGGCCCTCTACCGGTCGGTTCGGTCACTCCGATCTGTCTACCTTTGAAGGAGTTTCTTGTCTGTTTTCAAGTGTCATCGAAAGTCGATAGGCCATACCCCATCACATGTGATATTTATGCATGATTATTTCTTATGCTTCTCAGGCTTTCGGACTCTACTCCTTCAATCAAGCACTTCGTTGATTTGATCTATGATGTCGAGCCCTCCTCGATCGACATGGACAATCTGAAAGCCATCATCAGAGACAAGGCTTGGCAAGAGCTTCCTGAAGCACTTACCTTGAAGGAACGCCCCACGTTCTCTTGCTTGTCCCAATTTTGTTTGCTTCCACAAACCAATGGGAAACTATGTGTCCTCAAGCATTACTACGTCAAGAGTGACAAAGTCAAGGGCGCATATGTTGCCAAGCTCGTGCGTGGTCAAGGCAAGGAGATTGCTTGGGCCTCCCTCAACAAACAGCAAGCTCGCCGTGGCTTCCAGTGGATGTTGGAGTGCCTGGGTGGGCATCAGTTTCGTCACTTCTCTCTTTCCGCTGAGAAGGTCCGATCCAACAAAGCACGTGCCCCTCAAGGAGAAGATGAACAGGATGCAGGATGGGACTTCATCATCAGCAACGGTGAGAGAGACAAGGAGAACTTGAAGCAGATGCGCTGGATCCATCGCCACATCCAAAAAGAAGGTTCTCCGATCCATGGTTGGAACGAGAAGTTGGTTCAGAGAGCTCTTGATTGTCTTGCTAATGACGGATGTCTGGCCAAATTGTCTGACAGATATGATTTGACCATCCAAGCCATTCAGCCAGAAATCTTGACCATCTTGGAAGATCTCTTGCCTCATCTTCGTGGACATTCCCTGTGGCTGCGCGGAGAGTCCGGTGTCGGCAAAACCCCTCTCGCTCGAATTCTTTCCATGATGTTTTCGCGATATCATGGAGGAAATGGTCAGTTCAGGTCAGCCCCGGAGTTTGATTTCTTTCGTGGCATCTTCTTCGACAAGGCCACGCCTGCCATTTTTGACGATGGTGAAATCGGTAATGAGACCATCAAAAAGAAAAAGGCATTCTCAGATGTGGGAGATTCTGAGACCATCCTGAAAGAAAGGCCGGGCTCTGCAATGTCACATCACATGTGCAATCCACATACTGTGTTTTCCCTTGACACGCATGTCTGTGAATGTAAATCATTAATTTTCTTGGGCAGGTGGACGGCAGCGAAGTTCGTGATGCATCAGCTTCGCATCTTTGTAGACAACCAGTACAACCCAGAGGGTCAAGAAGGCGATGTTGATGGTGTTTTCTCAGCAGAAGTCTCCCATGAGTCTTTCATGAAGCTGGTCCGTCCAGCCGTGGGCTACATCGCCAATGCCGATGCTATGGCAATTCTGAAAAGGGCTGCCTTCATCGTGTTTGCTGAGAAGTACATCTATTTCCGACCACCCACTGAGAAGCACGTCAAGGTGCAGCGTGTTTTTTGGACCAACTCAGATTCAAAGGACATTCTTCTTCCAGTTTGCAAGCCAACCCTGAAGAATTGGAAAAATGGTGGGCCTCAGCCGGATACTTATTCTGGGAGACTGAATGGTTGAAAGAGCTATTCCGTCGACATGATCATCCTGTACGTCCTGCTTCGCCAGCTTGTCCTGCTACTCCTTTGACTTCCACGCCTGGTTTGGATGCGTTGCTTCGGGCTGATGGGGCTTTGCCTGCTGCACCTGCTTCTTCCAGGCCGGCATCGAGTTCATTGTCAATTCCTCACCCTGCCCCTGCTCTTTTGGTTGGCGTACCCAAGTTGGAGCCAGCCGAGCATCCGGATGCGCATGCATGGTTGGCCACAGCGACACGTGGAGATCCTGTGGATGTAGACACAGATCGTGCAAGTGCAGGTTGGACCGTTAAGGAAGAGCCTTCCTTGAAGTTCCAGAGCCTTGCCTTTACCTCTAGTGAGCCCATTGTCTTGGACACACCTTCCCCGCCACCACACAAGAGACAGAGAAGGACAGAAGACATTCCCAATCCGGACACTTTGCCTGGACTTCATCCTCCCTCTGATGACGAAGATCCGATGCCTCGCGTTGGTGCTGCTCCTGACTTAGAATATGGAGGTCCTGGCTGCCAGAATGGCTTCAAAGATGTGTGCTTGATCATGGCCATGCAAAATATTGGTCTTCCGGTGGTTTGCGATCAAGATGGCCCATTCTCAGTTTCCTACGGCAATAGTCTGCTACTTCCCTTTGGCGTCCAACTGTGTCAGAAGCATTGTCGAAAGTCTTTGCCGGATGGCGGCTACATCGTGCGTGACAAGGACATGAAGCACTTCTTTGCCTTGCAGCATCGAGAAGGTTTGCTCCTCAAGAAGGATGGTGAGGTCACCTCAGTGGTGTCTGCTGGTGTGGCAATGGACATGTTGTCATCTGACCAGTACACCTTCTACTACTTGCGAAGGCAATCCTACTCAGCATTAGTGACCTTGGATGCTGTGGGAGGTTCAAGTGTGTCTGTGAAGGTTGTTCTGGTTCCCTCATCTACCATTTGTCCGTCGATGCCGCGCTGTACGATTTAGATGGTCCTCGAAAAACCGTCCACGCGCAGAAGAACTGTACTTCCCGTTCTTGCCGGGCTTCTTATGGCTACAACTATCGCTGGGAAGCAGGCAAGAAGGTGAACGTCCTTGGCATGAAGGATTTTCAGGACAACATTCTGTTTGTGAACTCGAAGAAGGCCTTTTCTTTGAAATACATCCAGTATCATGAAGAACTTCTGTTCCGTGGTCATCTCTCAAGTGCTGCTGTGTCGTGCGCTTACCACGTTGTCCACGGAGATTCCCAAGAGTCAATCCTTCAGAACTTTGACAAGCTGCATGCGTCTGCGTTGTTCTACTACATGGCTGTGAGGGAGTTACCTCTACGATTCCTTTTGCCACTCATCTACCTTTCCTCCACACAAGCGTCAGCAGGTGAAGACCTTAGTCCTTGATGGAAACCAGAAGCTGAAGATGCAGTGTGATATGGCGCCAATGAAGCGCGCAGGCCGTCCTAGGAAGTCTGAGCACACCACCGGGCACTACACCAATGGCTGGATGCTTGCGTGTGATCCGAAGTCCGGTCGCATCATCAGCTTGCAGGTCATGCATGAGCCTGAAGGCAACGAGGTCGCAACTCTGGCTGTGGAGAACGTCATCTGGTTGTACCCCAAACTGGATTGCCTTGTCTACGACAGAGCATGCGCTTTCAAGTCATGTGGGGAGTCGAATGAGGCCTTGAATCAGATCGGCTACTATGTCGTGGATGGTTTTCATTCTCATGGTCATTCGCGAACCTGCCCTTGCAATCCTCGTGTCCTGTCTGTTTGTTTCAACACCAAGTCAATCAATATGGATTCTGTTCTATCGAGACGACCACAATCATTTTTTGCAAGTTTATTGAGGCACATGTTGTTGCATTAGTCCTTATGAATGTGTCGTTTTGTATAGTTTCGTACTTTCTTTAAGTCAAGCCTACCTAGGCTACCGCAAGAAGCTGGAGAAGCGCATTCACAAAGAGAACACTTCGATCTGCGAACAGGTCTTCTCGTGGTTCCGCAACTTTTCCCCTATCATCAATGAGATGCGAGCCCACCGGCACAAATTCTTCTTGTTGCTTCTGTCCAAGCGTCACAACGAGTCCATTGAGGGTGGCAACATTCGGTATTTGCATCCAACTCGCCTGCCAAACCTCTTCAAGAATGCGAAGTCTGTCTCATACCTATGTGGCAAGAAGTCCAACACGAAGAATGCAATTGGCAAACCCTCGTCTGGCAACAAGATGGTCATGAAGGGCAAGTCCATGAAGAGTAAGTCCATGAAGTACAAGAAGTGAAGAAAGCTGAGGGACCATCTGTAGATCTAATCTCATGGGACAAGTTCTGTAGAATATAAATATTTTTGCTATGTAAATCCTTCTATTTGGTGGGTTGCTATTAATTAAACACACTAGTGCATATCAGTAAGATTGCTATAGAATCTCTATTGAAATATTGTTGTTTGTTGGAAGTCCACATGAGAAGTTTTGGCTTTGGTATGGGCTGAAAACTTTAGACAGCAAGATTTGGCAGCTTGAAATGCTTAAAAAAGTGCACGCTCACAGTGACGAGCTCTCCTTTTTTACGCGGTGGTGACGAAACGGCACATCCCTTCCTAGTCCCCGAAAGCATGCGACCTTGAAAAAGGCGGGGGTAGGCTCCGTAGGGTAGGAAGTCTTCGTGCCAGGAAGCTAGGCAGGATGGCGACTGTGAAGGGTCCCTTGCATGTAAAGATGCCTCGTCAAAACGTTGCCGGAAGAATGTGATCGTTTGACCTGGTTTAGAGGAGTTTGCTTACTACGTCAGAATCCCAACATTGTTCCTTTTCAAGCCATGTTTAAACGAATGGCTTGGGGTCAACGCTGACTTCCACAAGTGAACATCACAATCTGCGCAAACGGAAAAGAACATTCCACAGCTGTGTCTCTCACAACGGGTCTTGAAAGTTGTGCAGGACCTTTCAAGGAATGGTGGAAGAACTTGTGTTTTCCTTGGCAGACCCACGATGGATACTGATCTGAAGAACTCACGCCTCCCCAAAACAATAATTGGGCGTAGTTCACTCTTTAAAGGCCGCTCTGCTCTCCAACCTAGAAGCGATGGCCTCCCACGTAATAGCAATGGCCTCCAACCTACTAGCGATGGACTCCAACCTGTCAGCGATGGCCTCCAACCAACCTAATAGCGATGGCCTCCAACCTAGAAGAGATTGCCTGAATACTAAGAAAGTCTAATAAAACAACATGCCTGGGTCTTCATCGATCTGCACTCAAGAAACAACTTAGACTAAGTGGGGGATCACACATCCGTGTTTGGGACGGTATTCCATCAAGAAAAAATGGCATGCCGGGCTCCAGAATTGCTCTTGACTGTTGATGACTGTTGCAAACCTCAAGCCACGAAAACATGCTGGCGATGACTTGTTCTTACCCAAACACCTGGGGCTGTGAACAAGGTCCAGTTTGTTATCCGCTCGTGTTTGCAAACACACATCCATCCATGCCAGGAGCTCACGGCTGGGTGCTTAGCATCGGTTATCATTGCCATCCAGGATGGGTTAGTCAATAGTGGCTTCTAGCTACTAGTAGCATCTAGTAGCGATGCACTTGTTCCTTTACACCTATGCTGATACCGCACCCGGCTGGGTGTCAAAGCTTTGAGTAGGTGGACCACCCCTGAAACTCACACATACTCACAGTTCATTGACGCACTGTCAATGAAATTCTGAGAGCATCCAAGAAGCCGACGTTCGAGTGGCCATTCTCGCACTGCTGGTACTTGGGGACCAACTAAGTTGTGCATCAGTATCAGTTCATTGCAAGGAGGAGAGTTGGTCTTCCTAGGATTGTCTTCGTGGGTGCTCGCTACAAAGCAAATGCCGGGTGAAGGTAGTTTCGCCCTCCAACAGGGAAGCTTTGTGTGCCAAACCGTTTTTGCTTTAAGAAGAGGCTCGTCCAACGCAGGACACATGGATGGATGCATGGGGTCTCCCCAGTGGTCGCAAATAGCTACTAGTAGCGATGCACTTAGCTAGCCATTTGCTACTAGTAGCGATGCACTTGTTACTAGTAGAGCAAGATGTGTGAGGTGTACCTCATGTGGTCTAATGTGGCAGACCCAGAAGGTGCTGGCATGTCCAGCCCCGGCTCCAGCGTCGCTCAGTATTTCTTTCCCGCATCACCACGGACACGGGAAGGGTTGGAGAAAGCCAAGGAGAAATCAAACTAGGTCGACCCCGAACGCAACTAGGAGCAAGGACGCTACTCGGGGCTAGCAAGGACGCTACTAGTAACAAAGGGCATCGCTACTAGGAGCAAGGACGCTACTCGGGGCTCCTGGCATCACTACTAGGAGCAAGGACGCTACTAGTAACAAAGGGCATCGCTACTAGGAGCAAGGACGCTACTAGGGGCTCCTGACATCGCTACTAGGAGCAAGGACGCTACTAGTAACAAAGGGCATCGCTACTAGGAGCAAGGAGGCTACTAGTGGCTTGTCACGGTGTTGTTCTCACCTCGCTGAGGCAGCAGTGCGACAGGAGTCTCAGCTCATCAGCCAGCTCACCTCAAAGGGAGAGGACTGACGGAGAGGGCGCGGCAGGTCGCAGGAACTGTTGGTCACTCCATGCTTCAACAGGACTCGGCAAGAGGCAACCAACGAAGGTGTCGCCCATAAGACACCAGCAGCTCCGGGTCCAATCTAGCCTGTTCCACCCTTGCCGGATCAAAAGCGGACCCTGCAGATGCTCTCCAAGTGGTCCTTCTTTTGAGCCACCACCAATGTATTCTCCAGAGGTGTTTGTGTCACCTCTGTTGTAGTGTGTCTACCACTCTTTCTGAACTTCGAGTTCTGTCTACACGTTGCTTTTCCAGCCTGTTCCTGCTTCTCCAACCTCCCCACCGCAGGCCGGCCCTCCCCGCGTTCCGCGCCAGGCCTTGCGCCGGGAGACACGCGCGCTGCGCACAGGTCGGGCGGATGCGGTCGGGCAGATGGTTGGGACGGTGACACGGTGGGCACCATCAGACCGATTTCAGGTGTACCGAAGCGATTGGGGTCATGGCATTCTTGGTGTAGTTTGGAGGTAGTACAGCTAGCATTTCATTTGGAGGACTTCTATTGTTCAAGGACATGAACCAGGTTTGTGGTTGGTCAGGGGCCAATTATGAATCAGCCCTTTTTGTGCTGTGGGCGGGACTAGGCCACTTGTGGATACCACACCCCTAGCTGTCCATGAGGAATTCTCGTTCTGACGTATGCAGCATCTCTTAGCAGCTCTCGCCATCAAACTGACTCTCAGGATGGTTACGGTGGAGTGAGCATGAGACCTTTAGCATCACGGTGTTTGTGATGTGTTCTGGTTTTGGTAGGAGATTACTGTAAGGAGCTTGGAGATTGTGTTGGCGTGGCGGAAACTGGTCGTTGGAACCTGTTCGTGCTGGAGGAAATCATAGGACATCAATGCATGTTGCATGGGTTTCAACTAAGATCATTCATTTCATCTCAGCTGGGCCTGAGGGCCTGAGGGTATGGGTTTTACACTGGAATCGGGTGCCTCTTCGTTTTACACGTGCTCGAACCCAAGAGCGAACCGCACCCGCAGGCACGGAGGCTGCCAAGGACGGACATCCGGACTCCGCCGGATCTCGTCCGGGTTCGCCAGACCAAACGGCCGACCAATGAGCCAGAGAAAGTCCAAAAAGACTGAGAAACCAGGGTACTGTTCTATACTGTTCAATTCCGATATAATTCTGTTCCAACCACTCTTGGCCAATTGTTGCCAAGCCACCAGTTGCAGATCATCTCCGCTAGGATTTGGCTTCGTTGGAAGGGCGATGCCTTGCCCATCGCCCCATTCTTGCATCTATCCAAGATCCAAATAATTGAGTTTGGTGGAGTGGAAGACGATTGGAATCTAACTTATTCTCGAGCAAGGACGCTACTAGGGGCTCCTGCTACTAGGAGCAACGACGCTACTAGGGGCTCCATGGGCGATTTGCAAACGTGCGACGGCGTGGCACGTGCCGCCGCGGGTGCGGTATGACCTTTGCTCCTAGTAGCTTCTTGCTCCTAGTAGTCTGGCCAGGAGCCCCTAGTATCCTTGCTCCTAATAGAAATGCCCTTTGCTCCTAGCAGCTTCTTGTTCCATGACGGATTTCCCACCTTTTGGGCCAAGTTCCAAACCGAAGCTTCGTGCTGGGCTTTCGCGGGATCGCGGGCTTCGTGCTGAGCAGTGGGACTCGTTCGCTTTCAGCTTCGTCTGCTCGGGTGCTTTTCGGAACCGACCCACGGGTCGGGAGCGCTCCGGTGGTCTCCAGCGCATGACAACCAGCCTGGCTGCGTACATGGTGGAACCAAGCAACAACTATGCTATTAGTAACAAGTGCATCGCTTCTAGTAACAAGTGCCTTACTAGTAGTACCAATGTTTGCTATTAGAAACATAAAGCTAGTAGTAACAACAACCCATCTGAAATCCTGCTAGGAGAGCGAAGCTCGCGTGTGGCGCAACATGGAGGCTGCGTCAGTCCGACAGCAACCGTTGATGGCCAATGAAGCAAGTGCTAGTGTAGCGATGGCCTCCAATCTAATAGCGATGGCCTTCACCCTAAGAGCGATGACAAAAGAAATGACCAATATCATTGCTGGATCCCATAGTCGAGCTGCGGTGTTCCAGCTCCTCACAAAGAAATCTAAAACTCCAAGCGTTCAATTCCTAAATGTTCAAGTTGTGTTTCATTCTCAGTGCCAGTCCATAATGGTATTGGCAAGTCTATAGCAGGTTGTTGATGTGTGCCACCTCTGGTGGAAGTAGAGTTGACGTCTCCAGGACGGTCCACCATCCGAAAGTCTATCGATCCCAAGTGGTTGAAGTCTTCTTGGCGCCCAGAGGCTGCGACCAGCCACGAAACGCTCCAAGAGGTCAACCTCTCCCGCCCTCGTCGTCACCATTGAGCGGGTCCAAACTCTGAAAACCCCGGTAGCTTGACCTCCCTGCTGATCTCTTCTGTTCATGTCCGATGGTCAACCAGGGTTTGATCCTGTTTTGGCCGAACTCGAACTGGACAAATTGGATCCTCCACCGTTCTGCGTTCAACACCGTCCGCAGGATCTGAAGGCCGCGGAGCATGCGATGTTCCAACGCGAGCAGCTTCTCCAGCGCCAGGACGGGCGTCGCCGACCACGTGGACGACTCCTTTGACCGAAAGAACAGGTTGTAAAGCTGGGAAAAGAATAGAATCTCCCCGGGTCCAGTGGTGAGAATAGAACAAGTGGTAATAGAATCTCCCCGGGTCCAGTTTGTGCTTGCTCTCACTGGGGTAAAGGAACACTTGTTCTCACCACTTCTTTACCCCATCTTCTTCGTGAAACATGGTTAGTGCGTTGACGCGGACACAACCATCTGATGCCAGCTGTAGATCATGTGCCCGTTTACGGAGATTTTTCAAACAATAAGTTCACTCCGGCTTCTCAGATTGTTGTTTGGTTTTCGTGCCATCCAACTACTGTGTGTGTGTGTGTGTGTGTCAACCCCTGGACCAAGGGTTCACCGCTACTGACTTCCTACTTTTCCCCCCCGTTTTCCACCCTGAAAGAAATTTCCACCAGCAGGGGCACACGGCATCCATGACCTACCGTGTGCAACGAAGCTGCGGTCATGGATGGGAAGGGAAGGCTGATCACCTTCCTGTACCTGCTTTCAACACACTGACTCCAATGGTCCACCCTGCCGCTGTTCGTTGTTTTCATGGTCCTTCTTCATGCTACTGCCCCTCAAACCTTGGTCTTTCAGCCACTTGCAGCCGCCGAGGGTTTTGCAGCACGCCACCGCAGTCACGTGACAAACTCCTTTGTTAAAACATCTACACATTTGCGGACTCTCCACCTTGCCGTTCCCTCACCATTTTCGACCTGGGAATTGAATTAACTGAATACAATTGTCAGAGTGTGTTTCGCTCAGCCGTCCCACTCGGGTGCTGAGTGTGATCCCCGTCATTGGGGCGCTGTCTCATCGTGAAAGCATTAACTGACCTCACCACTTTTCACAGGAATTCCACCGGAAGTCACTGACACAACCACTGAATTAACTGCCACAACGGCCGCCGGGCCTTACCACGGGAACTGACAGTTTTGCAACACTTGCTTTTTTGAGATGTTTGACGGCTAAGTATTCACATGTGCATGTGCTGCTAAGTATTCACAGGCCGGATGAATTAATCGTGCATGTTTCCCCTCCCTACCCCTGGGCCTCCGTTGCTACCCCACCCGCTACTCGGGAAACAGAAGGAAATCGCACTCAACACAATTGTGTGTTGGTGCCTTTCCTTCTGTTTCTCCTAGCCTATTGCTAGCTGCCCGGGCGGTTTAAGACAAATGTCCCGCTCGCGCTCTACTTTCATTTAACTAAGTGGGCCTCGTAACTTCCCCTATCATTCTTTCTTGCCCTCTTAGTCTGCTTTTGTTTTGTTTGCTTTGTCTGTCTTTCTAAGGCTTTTTAGGTGGCTATTAGTCTTTTCGCAGCGCCAATATTGGCGCTTTCTGTGCAAAGTTCCACCTTCAACGTTTTACACACTTGCGCCGGAATCGGCTGTTTGTGTGTGTCAACCCCTGGACCAAGGGTTCACCGCTACTGACTTCCTACTTTTCCCCCCCGTTTTCCACCCTGAAAGAAATTTCCACCAGCAGGGGCACACGGCATCCATGACCTACCGTGTGCAACGAAGCTGCGGTCATGGATGGGAAGGGAAGGCTGATCACCTTCCTGTACCTGCTTTCAACACACTGACTCCAATGGTCCACCCTGCCGCTGTTCGTTGTTTTCATGGTCCTTCTTCATGCTACTGCCCCTCAAACCTTGGTCTTTCAGCCACTTGCAGCCGCCGAGGGGTTTGCAGCACGCCACCGCAGTCACGTGACAAACTCCTTTGTTAAAACATCTACACATTTGCGGACTCTCCACCTTGCCGTTCCCTCACCATTTTCGACCTGGGAAATGAGTTAACTGAATACAATTGTCAGAGTGATACCTTGTTGGTGTCTACCAGGTATTACAAGGTATGCTGGTCGAAATCCTGGTTGTAGGTGACTGCTAGTTTAGAACTTTAGATGAATTAGATTGAGGCCGATTAAAAGAACCCCTGTCAAACCATGCCAAGAAGTTATCTAAATTTATAATATGGCTTGCTTTTAGCTTGGAGGCCATCGCTAGTAGGTTGGAGGCCATGGCTATTAGGTTGGAGGCCATCGCTAGTAGGTTGGAGGCCAGTGCAACTAGAAACAAAGCAAAAGTAATCAGGAAGAAAGGTCCAATAGTGTTTTTTCCCCTCAGAAACCCTTCGTGTCCGTTCATGGACACGACAAATCGACGGCAAAGCGCCAAAACCCGCTGTGAGAATGGCAGGCGCTCGATCTGCGGGAGCTCGCGAAGCGTCTCCGGGCACAGTTGGAGGCCTGGTGTTACGTTAAACAAAAACATTGGAGGCCAGGTGTGTGTGTGTGTGTGACCCCTCCCTCAAAAGAAACACCATGGTTTGAGTAGGGAAGTCGACCACCAGCACGTTTGCAATGGTCTATGATCTATGGCACTAGTTTTACAAGGCTGCCAACTCCACTTCATGATGAAGTGTGTTCAGATCAGCTGACCATCAAAGAATGCTGAGGCTAAATCATGAGGAACTTGCGTTGTTACTGAGATGTGTCATTGCTCGAATGCTTCCTCCATCTTGACAAAGCGCTCCCAAAATTGCCCGGATCCTAATCTTACTAATCTGAGCACTGTGGTATACAGATCTATAGTAGTAGAGCATACACACCTTGGTTGATGCCTTTGACATCATAATTCCTGTAGCGAGTTCGGGTCAAGCAAGCTCCAAGCAAGACTCTTACTCCAAGCATAGCATAACTGGAGAAATAGAAGCTACTAGTAACAGGGGCACCGCTACCAGTAGCTAAAAGCAACGAGTAGCAAGGGCCTTACTGTAGAAGTAACAAGAAAAGATTGTTGTCCAAAAGGTCCCTGACATGCAACGAAGAAAACAACATGCGCCCACTGCCTCCCTTTAGGTGTGAATCTGAAATTGCCCCTTCTGAAGTCGGGACGTGTGTGTCATTTTTGAATCGCCATCGGTTGACATGTAACAGGCTAATGGCTAATGGTTTTCTTACATGTGTCATCCGTCTTCTGAAGTCGGGCATAAGGTTAACATGTAACAGACATGATAAAGTAGGGTGGAGGCCATCGCTACTAGGGTGAAGGCCATTACTACTAGTAACAAGAAGCTACGAACGTAGCTAAAAGTTAAGTTTCGCTAAAAATCTAGGAACGAAGTCATTAGCGCGAGCTCTCCTGCATCCTGTCAGTGGTAGCTACTTGTAGGTACTAGCTACTAGTCACTGTTATTTTTCAAATCGACTCTCATCATCCCCCACTCAGACGCTGAAGGGAAAGGATCGCTGGCGCCAGGTGCGCCCCGTCAATGGCATGAACGAGGTTTTCCGATGGGGTTTGGGTGAGGAAAAGGCGTGGAGAAAACCCTGGCAGCTTTATGGTTGTAGCGATGCCCGAAATGCTCCCTTCGTAGCGTCCGATCGCTCCTGATAGAGGAAAGAGAAAAGACCAAAACACCTGGATGGATTTGGTTGGACGTTTCCACTCAACATCACGTTCTGGCGGTACCTTTCGCAACAAGACTGAGAGATCCAGCCAATGATGTGCCGGATGGTGGGAGGAGGGCATGCTTCTGAAACGCTAATTCGTGACAGGGAGTAGACTGCACAACCACCTAGAAATCTACTTAATATACACAATATATATAGATATACACTTCATCACATTTCTACCCCCTCATCATTATAGAATGAGAACCCTCGTCCACCCCAGCCAATGACTGTTCATCGACTTTCTTCTACTGCACCCGACTTGGTTGATACACTGTTCCCAATGTTGGTATTGAAGCGGACTATCCAGGTACCAACCTAATAGCAAGGGCCTCCAACCTAATAGGAATGGCCTCTAACCTACTAGTGATGGAATGGCCTCCAACCTATAGTCGTGATGGCCTCCAACCTAATAGCGATGGCCTCGAACCTGAATGAAACAATGCCTCTTGAAAAGGCAGGTCGCAAGGAACCTGTTCACTTCCATGTGCAGATTAGCCCGTCAGGGACCTGGCGAAGGCTACAAATGTTCCAAAAGAACATTCCTTGCAAGCAGGGAGGGTCCATCCTGTATCAGCTTTCGCCTCAGCAGAAACTCTGCGAAATTGTCGGAGGTCGCTGATCAGCTCAACCGGAAGCTTGAGGCGAAAGTCGAGTTCTTGCGAAAGGACTGGGTGAAACTCCAAGATCTCTGGGTGGAAGAGCCCGCAAATTACATAGTTTAAAGTTTAAAGTATTTTGAAGTAGCTTAGTAGTTAGATGTAATGGCCCAAATATGTCCACCATGTCTGCACGATGTCGTTGCAGTCCTCCATTCAACCAGCCACTGCACCGCAGCGAAAACCCTGGTTAGTTGACCTGCGAAACTGCCGGGGTAGTTACAGATCCGCCGATGATCAGAAGGTGAAGCGACACCCGGTCCACCGAAGTCGACACTCTTCGCCGTGGTCCCTACGCCGACACGGTGACCGGTCACGGTGTTTGGGACTGCCGGACTGCCGACCCCCAGTCACCCCTGGCCGTGCCACTCGGCATCGGCAGTCCCAGACTCGTGTCGACAGTGGGTACTCAGCGTTTGTGGCTCCGTTCGTCTCGCGGTGACGGTCTGCGTTGACTCTAACGTGCAGGTCTAGTTCCCAGCGGCTTGGAACGAGGCAACGAGGGTCTTGTCAGTCGTAGCTTCTTGTTACTAGTAAGTTAAGGCCAGGAGCGCCCCGTTCGTAGCGTCCTTGCTGCGATGCCCTTTGTGACTAGTAGCGATGCCATGGCTCCTGGTAGCTTCTAAAGCTTGAGTGGCACAGTAGGAACCACCATCCATCGGGTATGCGATTGGGAGTTCCCAGTTACGTACAATGTCAGCATCTCGCTACTCTCTCACCTTCATACTTTTAGGGCATTCAGGAACGGTCTTTGAAGCTATTAGAAACAAGTGCATCGCTTCTAGTAACAAGTGCCTTACTTCTAGTAACAAGAAGCTATTAGAAACAAGTGCATCGCTACTAGTAACAAGTGCCTTACTAGTAGTAACAAGAAGCCATTATAAACAAGTGTATGTCTTTGAAGCTACTAGTAGGTTAGGTTTGAAGATACTAGTAGCTAGAAGCTTCCTTTGGAATCCTTTCACTGGGAATCGTATCACCTTCATACTTTGGGATGGCATGGTCTTTGAGAATCCGAACCAGAGATCCTGGGCTGGTTTTTAAGTCTTTGGCATGGTCTATGGTTACCTGGTAGGTTGAAGGCCATTAATTGCTTCTAGGTTGGAAGCTACTAGTTTGGAGGCCATCACAATTAACATGATAACTGGATCTCCGGGCTTTGTTTCACTGGGAATTGATTTCTTTTCCAGGAGCTCGAGCAAGAGAAGGCCAAGCACGCCGCGCACGCCGCAGAGCCCTTCTCCAGGCGGGTTTTTGGAGTTTGGAGCGGGGGGGGTTGCACTAGGCCGAGGTCCGAAGATTGTCGTCTTCTTGTTTAACTCCGGACAACTCCAGGAGATGTTGGAATGTCTACATATCACTCAATCCGAAGAGCGAGTCAAACACTTAAACTGGCGTTGCAGACTTCGGCGAAACGGATGACACAAGCCAGTACTTGATATGTTTGAACAGATTGCGAAGAGATTTGTCCAGTTAACAAGAAGACACAAGGAAAGATTTGATTTCTTCGTGCTGATCGACAAGACGTTTTTCTTTTTGCGCCGCAAGCTTCTGTGGAATGGCCTGCACCCCCGGTTTGCCATGTTCACAGTGTCAGGGCGCGCATGCACCAAACGCAGGAGCCCTGGCGGAGCAACGCCTGGTAGTTCACACCTGGTTGGCAGTGCCGGTGTCGCTGGCCGTGAGTGAAGCTCGTGAAGCTGTGACGAGTTTCATGAAAGTAAATATATATAATTTATAAGAGCATGTCTACATAGTTCTATCAGAAGATATATATATTATGTTTGTTAATTCAAAGCTTGATGTTGATTTAGTGTGTCCTTCTGATTCAAGTGTTATTTCATTTATATTCTTCAGCCCTTAGGTCCAACATGTATGCTGATACTGTCGGTTTTTGGGTTTCTTGAAAACACTGGTCACAGAAATCACATGAAATCACTGCCCGGCACCCAAAGAGGTGCGCTTGCTTTGGCGGTATGTACAAAGACAGACCTCACCCGCTTCGCGAATCACCCATCCATCGTCCACGAGAAGAGAGGAGTAGAACGATGTGGGGGTGCCTCCCAAGTTCCCAAGACCTTCATGGATTCAAAAGAAAGCAAGCAAGCAAGGAAGAAAGGAAGAAAGCCAAGATAGCAAAAGATATATTTCAGAATCTTCACATGCTGTCTGAATCCGAGAAGAAACATGTGACGCTGGGATGTTGAGAACCTACGGCGGTTCCACGGGTGTCAGCGCCTTCAGTGAAGCACAATGAATGCTGAAAGGATCCTAGTAGTAACAAGTGCATCGCTAGTAGTAACAAGTGCCTTACTAGTAGTAACAAGAAGCTAGTAGAAACAATAAGCTAGTAAGGCCAGGAGCCCCGAAACCTTGCGATGCCCTGTGCTCCGTTCGTAGCGTCCTCTACCCCCAAAGGACCGAAAAGACTGAAAGGACCTTGTTATCCTTTGTAGCGAACCTTGTTACTAGTAGTAAGGCACTTGTTACTAGTAGCGA